ACACACACACACACACACAGACACGAATACTTCCGTCTGGCTGAACACTCAACTCCAGCTCACACAAACGCACACACACGAGCTCCAGCCAGTTGTTGATAATACCGCCTCGTCTGTCTCCGAGCTCATGTGACGCGACAAAAATCGCGACGGTATCGTGTCGGTGGAGTGATGGCGCAAAGACGTGTGTGTGTGTGTGTGTGTGTGTGTGTGTGTGTGTGTGTGTGTGAGTGTGAGAGTGAGTGAGAACAAATACACTGTCTGGTATTGTGTACATGACTTCACAGGTCACGGTAGCCGCATGAGAAGAAACCCAAAACGTCTCATTCAGTTGTTTTAACTGTTTTTTCCTCCTCGGAGCTGTTTCCTTCATGTAATCATCCGAAATTGATCGTTGGCGCTGCTGTATAATTAATCACGAAAAAGTTCATTATGTTTATGCTACCAGCTCAGGTTTCTCCATCTAATCTTCTCTGCATCAACATGAGAAGGTTTTTTTCTTGGAGAAACAGCTTGATACCCCAATTTTCTTTTTAAGTTATTTGGCAATCCATTAAAAGAAGAAGAAGAAAAAAAAACACATCCTTTGAGAAGCACTACAAGCTAGACTCTCTGGCCAGAGAAAGGAAAACGTTCATAACATTTCCAATTTCACCATTCGTTTTTTTAACCATCTCTTCTCGAGCAGCTCACTGAGTTCTGACTGAATGCATCCGGAAAAATGTTGTGCTACTCAAACGGCAGATCAAAGTGCCTCCGCGGGAACCCTCGGAGGAATGCCGCGGGTTTATTTTTAAACCCCAGTTGGCACGCCGTGATAAGTTGATCAAAGAAGTAATTTGCCAAAACACGATGTGTTCTTCTGTGCTGCAGAAGTCCTGCGTGAGAGTTAATCTCACTCAGTCACTGAACACAGAACAGCTCTTTCAGAGATGTTGCCGCTCAGGTTTTCAGGACGGCAGCAATCCCGTTCATCTCCATCGGGGGTTTCATGGCTTGTGCAAATTGTTTTGCGAGATTATATGCACTTTAATACAGCTTTGATGATTTTTTTCAGATCTTTCAGGGCGTATCAGTCATACTGCTGACATGTTCAGCCCCTATAAATAGTAGAAATAGGCAGCATGTATGAATATGAGAGTTAATGCCAGATACCAATGCTAAAACAATGCTGTTTATTGCCTTAGTTAAAGAAATGTGCAAGTTATGACTGCCCTGGCTGTGTATATCTTATCCGCAGTGGTGTATAGTAATGAAGTAGAAATACTTCGTTACTGTACTTAAGTCGTTTTTTGGATATCTTTACTTTACTATTTATATTTATGTTGACTTTTACTTTTACTTCACTACATTTTGCAAAGAAAACTGATACTTTTACTCCGATACATTTCCCCTGAAACCTTCGTTACTCGCTACAAAATCAAATCTATCTTCAGAAACAAAATGAATCATGAGACCAGCGTCGGGGACTGTGGTGGAACACAGACTGCAAGCAAGCAGGTTTGGTGAATCAGTGGTCCAAGCTTACAAGTTAAATCATTGGTTAATCACGTTAATGCGCAAAACAAGTGCTCTCAAAGCCGCGGCGTTTTGATTCCCAGTGATGCCCAGGATGCTATATGCTATAGCTAGCGGGCGACTACATGAGTATAATTCCACTCTACGATGACTGATTTCAGCTGTGCGCAAGCTGTGTGAAGCTGCACACACCTCTACCTGCCTCAGCGGCCTGTGAAAGGCTAGTTAGCATCGCAGGACTAGTCTTCAGCCCAAGAAGAGCGAGACTGAATTCTCGCAATTTTGAAAACCAACTTCTTTTGAAGATGAACAGGACATTTTTCAGTTTCAAGTAATGACTGGGTTGTTACTTTCGGTGCTGCTTTAGTATTTAGTATAGTAGGAGTTTACAAGGCAGGTGTCCTTTCTCACAACACTGACCTGATGCATCAAGTGGATATTTGTTGCTGAACACAACATTATGCATTTGCCCTCTACATCCTCTAGTCGGAATTGAGCATACTTAGAAATGCACTGTTACAACTCCTTCATAGCGTCATATTGCTTTTCGGAGAATTATGATGATAAGTTCATAGTAGATGCAAAAGTATACTTATGTACAATATATTATGTTGAACATTGTTGCTCCTGGATGGATCACAGCCAACCCAATTATGTTCAACACAGCTCCATGTCCTTGGTCATGGTGGCCACAGCACTTAAAAGAATAAACTTCATAATTCTCAAAATACTGACCCTTTGCTTTTTTATTAACAGCATTTACTTGTACTTTTACTTTCAATACTTAAGTATCAAAAGTAATTTTCTGATATTAAATGTACTTAAGTACAGTAAATATCAGATATTTTAAGACTTTTACTCAAGTAGTATTCTAATAGGTGACTTTTACTTTTACTGGAGTCATTTTCCAGTAAGGTATCTTTACTTTTACTCAAGTATGGCTTTTGGGTACTTTATACACTACTGATTATCTGTAGGTCATATTTAGATACATTTGATCATCTTCAGTAATACGCCGTCTGGCCCATGGGGGGAGCTACATTATTTGTTTTGACACGTGCCCATGCAGCAGCTCAGATACCAATAACTGTGATTTTTTTATTTATTTATTTATTTTTTTTACAAAGAGCTGTGTAAATGGTGTACCATCTCGTTTTCGTACATTGACTGAGGCACACATGCTACAGTCATAGGTGGAAAGGAAGTGGAACGTGTGGGGGTGGGGCTACATCATTCATGAAGGGAGACATGTTTGCTGTCTTAGCGATGGCTATCATGAATAAAACACAGCTCTCTTTCCACCAGGACTCGCTCCACTCCCCTCATTCTCCTTGCCTTTTTGCTTCTTTGGGATAACCCACTCGCCAGATCTCACAGCATTGGAGCTCTCCAGAAGACTAAGTCCCCAGCATTTGGCTGACGGCTGCACGGTTCCCACACTGATTAGGAGCCGTCCACAAACTGCAGCATGGAGACGTTGACTAAGTAGTTAAGAAGCCCTTGAAACGACCGGAAAGAAAGCTGCTGGAGATGGGTATGCTGCGATACCGTTTTTACTCAGTTTCACGGAGGACATTTAAGCAGTTTTTTTTTGTCGGGCAGCATTCACTTACTGCTCAAATGTTTTTAAATAAAGTTCACCCTTGTTTGCATAGCTTCATTTAACCACAAAGCCTAAGTAGTGATTTAATAATTCAGTTTAGAAAAGACTGGAGAGAGAGAGGGACACCCTTTTCACATTGATGCCGATACCCTGAAAACCTTCCTCCTCTGAGCTTTTTCATTTGACTCGCATGAAACATTTACTATGAATCTCATTTAAGACTATAAACGATATATATTTTCCAGTTACATCGTGAACGTCGTCCTCGATTCCTGAATCATTTTGAGGTGTGTGTGTGTGTGTGTGTGGTGCGGTACGCTCTTGTGTTGTGATTGACGCTTCGCTAAGTCCCGCCTCTTGAACGCAGACTTGCCAGTCATAGCATCAACCAGCTGTGACCAGGGTCCAACAACCACGGACATAAAACAGTAGAGGTGTTCTAATGAATGAATCACAGACTGTGTATAAGAAGTGGACGCAGTCGGCGTGACGTCACCCGTTGGTTTGTGGACTGATGTTATGAAGCCTCAAATTCGGCAGTTTGACCAGTGAACAGAAGTGCCCATATTAGGACTGTGGGCAAGTGACATAAAGACGCCGTATACAGCTCTGGTAGTGGTAGCGACCTGTCAACGGGGGAGGAGCTTAAGGGTCAATTCAGTAGAGCAGCGGTTCCCAAACTTTTTAGGCCATGCACCCCCTTCTACATCCCAACCGGGTTCACGCACCCCCAATCCCCCACACGCCCTGTGAAAACGCCCTGAAACACTGCAACAAAGTTTCAATACATTTCAGTTACACAAGGCGTCACTTTGAAAGAGCAATAAGGATGGCGAGGACACACGCACAGGCTCAGAGGCAGATTGCATCACATTTAATTCACAATTAACCACACATAGCGGTTACATTAATCTGAATCGAATTACAATAAAGTTACTCTCTCCCATCATACATTCCACCATCTCTTTGGCAGCTGGCAAGCACACGTCTTCGGCGATTGTGTGAGGTAGCCCCTTTCTTGCTATTCTGTGACCAGATATGAAGCCCGTAGTGTGTTTTTTGTAGACCCAACACATGAATGAGACTGCAGTTGTTTTGGGCTGTTTTGTAACTCCTCCAATTTCGATATAAAAAAAATGTAAGGGGCTTTTGACTTGCACTGGCATTCTTGGTGTTCAGGTGGCGACGTAAATAAGAGGGCGACAGACAGCTGTTAGCCAGAACCTCACTGCACACCATGCACTGTGGCTTTGGACAATCTGCATTGCCAATCCAAGTGAAGCCCAGACCAGATCATTTTCATCATGTTTCCTCTTTTTTCACCTTGACTCCACGATGGGCCTATGTGCTCCCGATTTGTCTGTGCTATCCCTTCCTCCTTTTCGGTCTCCTCCGTCTCATCTTTCTCTGACTCCTGCTCGATTCTCTCTCTCTCTCTCTCTCTCTCTCTCTCTCTCTCTCTCTCTCTCTCTCTCTCTCTCTCTCTCTCTCCTCCTTTATGACTGATAGCTTCAGATGTCCCACCTGACAGTTTCCTAGATTTCAGCCAGTTTAGCATATTTGCATGAATGTTGCTGAATGAATGAAGTTAGCTGTTAGCTGACGTTAGCTGCACAAGCTAGGCTAGCTAGTGTAAAAGACTGGTGGCAGGAGCAGAAGTGCATTTATTTATTAAATTCTAAGTTTTTTTTTTTAATTGAAATGTTACAAAGGGTATTTTTATAATTCATGTTTTTGTGAAAAATCCCACTTAAATTTTTTAAAATTATATTTAATATCAATTATTACACCATTAGTCCACCATTACATTTTTCCTCCCACGCACCCCTCTTTGGGAATCCCTGCAGTAGACAATTAGGCTACAGAGGCTGTTCACATGGAAAACAATCACACTCCTGATTGTGTCTGCATGTGTGTGTGTGTACATGCTGCACACTCAACCATTCATCTGTGTGTGTGTGTGTGTGTGTGTGTGTGTGTGTGTGTGTGTGTGTGTCCTAAATAGCCCCAGCCTTAGCGCTCTTGTTCTCATGGTGCCGGTCCGAGACGTCTTCAGCCTGCCTTTGTTTCAGCGCTGTGTCGTCGGGCAGGCCTCTCGCTAAAGGCTGAGATGTTAGCAGGCTGTGGTCTCTGCATTATTGATGCAGACGGTGACCGGGCTCTGCGGAGCCATAGGGTAACAACTTTTTAAAAAAAATCTGAAGGTGGAGTGAACTCCGGCTGAACTCGCAGGGAATCCAGCAGCAGACGGTCGCAGTACAGTGCTGAGGTTTGTTAAAAGCAGGAGCTGAGAGACGACCTGATTCTGGTGACACCACGAGTTTTACCGGTGCATTCTAATGAGCCCGGGGTCCCAGGGTGAGACTCAGTGATTAAATCTGGCTCATGGGCCGGAAAAGTTGAACACATTTAGATGGGGCTGAACTGCACTTGGTCTTTTTGAAGTGGATACAAGGACTGTATGATAATGAATTCTGTAATGTGATATAATACATATGTTTAATTCACTCATCATTTACATGCTCTTTTACAGCACAGCAGACTATGAATCTCATTGAAAACTATACAATTCAGAAGTGGAAATGTCACTGACTTTTACCACAGACTGTATATAACAAGTGGACGTAGTCACGGTGATGTCACACATTGGTTTGTGGACTGATGTTTTGAAGGCTCAAGTTCAGCGATTTTGCCATCTTGGATTACGGCTGTCGCCATGTTGGTTTTTTTCCGCAACCAATGAACAGAAGTGACCATATTTAGAATGAGGAGTGATGTAGAGGCGCAGTATACGTCTCTGGTAGCAGCAGCGACCTGTCAATCACAGTAAGCCCGCCCTAAAGCATACTCTGCTTTATGGTCTTTATGGAAGCCACCGATACCCCCCAGATATGAGTTTGTCTTACAAGGAGGATGTATTGGGACATTTCCTGATATTATGTATCCTTCCAGACCTCGTGACACTCAGATGACCTGGCTGACTTCATACTTCATCCTCGTGAGCAGGCGGAGAATGTGAAGAAAACCACCGTTTTACCGTAAAGAGAGAGATTTGATATCTTTGCAAACAGTAAGCTGCTACTGTCCAAGAACAGGACAAGATAAGACGGCATAGACGCTTCTGCAGGACCCTGTTTTTGCACCACTTCAAAAAATGTGTAACTCACTCTCTCTTTCTGTCTCTCTCACTCTCACACACACACACGCACACACACAGTCTTAACGAGGTTTCTCCTCTGTCCTTTGCACATTTTGCGCCTGTCTTTCATTCGTTCGACTGTGCCGTGAGTCGGGCTGCAGAAACTGCCGCCACAAGGACGTTCCTGAGCTGTTCATCCACGCTGTCTTCTAGTTGTTGGAAAAAACTAGAAGAATGAAATGCTACTTTTTTTTTAGGTCCGTTGGGGCGCTTCGCGTGCACAGATTCCTCTTTGTTCCTCACACCTGCGCCTCATATTGTGACTACGTGCCGTGAGCCTGACCGTGACGGCAGTGACCGGAGAAGAGAATAAGTGGAGCTGCTTCGCTGTCAAGGATTTTCTGCAGAATGTCGTCAGCGTGCTAGTTTGGTGACTTACTGATGTTTTGTTTGTTTAAGGTTGCATGTTGACCATGACACAATGTAACATTACATCCTGAAGAAGGGACGAATAAAAATATACTCGGTACGTCTGTCTTCATCTAATGTCATTGAACTGTGCGGGTTTTCCTTCTCTTACAATCGTCCGCTTTGTGCGACTTATTCCAGGAGGAAAGCTTTTCTTTTTGCCAGAACTTCAACTTTTTCTTTCACAACCAAAACTGTCGCAGAACTCACTTTGCCTTTTGAAGGAAAGTCAAAGAGGTGATTTGGTCGGTCGTGAGTGATTGCCGGTCATTACCAAAGCTGTTCTAACGTATAACCCAACCTTGTTTCCAACTGTGCCGCAACTCCGGCCACAAAATATCCCCAAATCAGTCGGCGGGCCTTGTGTGTTCACTCTGTGCCTCTGGCTGCACTTTATACAAGACCGTTGGATGATTTATGTATTCAGACATTTATTATTTATATATCTAAGCACTTGCGTAGTGTTTAATGCAGGCTCTGAGTTCTCAAATGCAAGGCTTAGAAATGTGACATCGTCTCGGTACACAGATTTTTCATACAAATCATGCAAATCTGATATGGAGATATGTTTTTGTAATTGGAGTTCTGTTTATTTAATTCTTGCTGGCATTAGAAAGTTCTTTGACTTGGAGAAACTTGCAGAACTCTGAAATTGGGACTGCTGATGCCACATAAATGCAAATTAGCAGATGACGTCCCGTTCGCCCTCAGGACAGGAGCAACATTTTTAAATCGTGAAAGAAGAAATCTGCTAGCTGGCATTCTGTAAGGAATCCCACACACCCCTGTTTTTAACAAAGGATGTAACATTGGAAAATGTCTCTTCAGTGATGCTCGTACCGAACTCCGTGGCACAAGAAGCCGAGCGGTTCAACACCATCACAAGCTGCTTCCTTGAGTCTGCTGCAGGCCGTTTGACTTTTCCTCCTGTCAATCTCCTTCTGTTCGCTCACGAAGCCCTCCATAACCACACACACCCACCCTCTCCACTGCTGAGCTCCTTCTCCCAGCCTCCACGCTTCGTGACACCCGCCTCTTGTCCACCATCCAGGCTCGAGCACCGGACCGGCGGTGAGGTTTCCATGACCAGCCCTCCCTCTGGACCACACTCCCCTGAAAACATCCAGCCTCGCTATGTCTCCTAAAGCTCACCTATTCAGAGCTGCTTTACTGTAAGTGTTTGATTCCATGTCCGTGTCTACACTATCAGCGCTTTTATTGTGTTCTGGTTTTTTTTCTATTTATGGACCTAATTACGCTTTGAAGTCTTGTGTTTGGCATTTTGGCCGTCGCCATCTTGTTTATTTTTTGCAACCAGAAGTGACATGAGAGGGCGGAGCTAAGTACAAATGAACACTGAATAAGACAATTTTAGGCGACCAAAATGTTACAATTAACTTTTATGAAGTGAAAACGCACTGTGAAAGGGTTCAAGTTCCAAGACGAAAACATGGACAACTCCCAGACCGGACAACGCCTTGGCAGCGACCTGTCAATCAGTAGGTAGCCCCGCCCTAAAGCATACCCTGCTTTATGGTCTGTTTACACTAAATGGACCATAATTTACTAAATGAACATCAAGGTGTATTGAAGAAGACTTGAAACCAGATATTGAGACCATAAACTCATGTTTACAATGTTTACTGAGGTAATAAATCAAGAGAGAATTAGTCATTTTCTCATAGACTTCTATACAACCAGAGGAGTCGCCCCCTGCTGGACATTAGAGAGAATGCAGAATTAGACAATTGCGGCTTACAAACATTACGGCAGCATCCTTGCAGACACACCTCTGCACACTACTGAGTGCACTTTTCTATTTTTGGGATGTTATTTTAACAGCTTAATTATTTTTAGTATATGGAGTCTGACATTAAAGCTAACCATCAAAGCTAAGCTCATGCTCAGCCTGAGCAGAGGTCTAACGAGCCACAGCTGAAAACACCTCTATGGTTGTGCCGCTCTCTTTGTGCTTCTTGCTCCGATGTTGTCATGATGTTGCAGTGTCGGCCATACATGCTACCAATTAATAAAATCCAACTTATCATAATGAGCGTCTACATTACAGTTCAACTGATTGGTTACACTATATTTCCATCAGCTCATTTCAAATCACAGACTAGTTCTGGCAGTGAATAATTGAGAACATTTAATGAATACTAAAATTACTAAATTGAAAGTACTTTTTTTTTCTAAGGACTTTGCCTGCGAAATTAAATGAACACCAACAATAGCGTGAAGATTAGCAGCGCTAGCTGTTCTGACTCTATTGCCCACAGACTTCATGTTGCTCCGGAGGCAGATGCGTTACTAGGCAGCTGTACTAACTGAAGACTGCGTGTTTGTCTGCTCGCGGTGTGTAAATGATCAGTCGGTGTGGGTTAGTGCAGGCCGACGGAGGCTCAGGTAGGAAGGTGTGTGTTCATGTGAGATAACACGGAGGTCAGCCGGGGTTATGGGTTGGTGTGTGTGTGTGTGTGTGTGTGTCGGTGTGGAGGAGGCACAGCCTCCCAGTCACTGCCAAGACCTTCAAGGAAGTTTCCCTGCCTCTGAATCCGCAGCTTTAATTGCCGTGAGCCAAGGGACGGCAACTAACTCACCCCCTTTCTTCTAGTCCCTCACCCTGTCTGTTACTCTCCTTCTCTTCATGTCCCTCTTTTCCTTTCTTGCCCTATCAAAGAGTCCGGGGTGTGTTTTCATCCTTAACTTGGGGGTGGTGGTGGGGATGCTGCGCTGAGCAGCACTCTGAAGTCATTACGACGGCGTATTGGAGGAGATTCACATTTCCAGGCAGGCTTTTGTGTTGTTGGCTGAATTGTTCTTTTGCCTCATCATCAGCCAGTGCACTCATCGAAGTCCTTAAAGTGGTCGACTTCCTGAGTTTGAAGTTGCTGAGTCACTTCTGTACAGTTTGTGTGGACACACTTTCACTGTGCTTTTTTTGGGGTTGCAGCCGTTTAAGGCAATTATAATGTCCTTGTTAACTTAAAAAGCAAGAAATAATGGGACAGATGATAATGTTATGTGAACAGGGTCACTCATAGTGACGATTCCACAGATAGTCATCACCAGACTGCAGTGTCCCTCAGCTCTACGGGCTGTTTCAGCATCTTTTTGCTCATTTTGTTTTTACAGACCACAACAGTGATGTTTGGGTTTAGTCCCACTGGTCTCATCGGCGTCGTTTCCAGCATCAGCCGGCAGCTGTTTTCATCAAAAAACGTTCTAGAATCCCTCTGTGTGCTGCCTGTCTGGGACCAGACTGCAGACAGACAAAGTTAGCTGTTGAACACAGTGGAACATTTAGTAGATAAAGATCCAGATGTTTTTCTCAGGAGGTGTTGGAGAGATGAGAAGATCAAAATCCATCACGTCCATGCTTTAAGTACAGAGCTCTACTCTGAGGTGTTTAGCCTAGCTTAACATACAGATTTAGGGTAGGAGGACAGTTTGGTTCTGTTCAAATAAAAATAATCTCTCCCCCTCAATGGGTGGCTCTGCTGTATGTTTTTGGAGAATGCTACAACCCAAGCAACCTCGAGATGACACTAGATGTCCGTCACTTTTTCACCAAGAATCAGTTACACCACGTTACTTCCTCTAAAAACTACAAATTGTTGTTTCTACATTTCTATTAGACCACAAGCTAAACACTTTAGATATGACTTGATTTTATCAATGAGATTTAGAGTTGTATTATTCTTTTCCACTTTGGATAACCATGACTCTTAACTCTGTACCTAATGCACAGACATAAGATTGACATCAATCTTCTCATCTCACTCTTGGAAAGAAAGGAAATAAATGAAGCATTTAAAGTATTCTGTAATGAGCTCACGTGTACGTATTCATTCTTGTTCATATGCGGAGGATTGAATGAAAGCTCTCTCTCCCTCCAGCAGTGACTCACTCACTGAAAATAATGGTGCAAACCTTCTACAGTGCTCATCTATAGAGCCATCTATTCTTTAGAGAGAGAGAGAGAGAGAGAGAGAGAGAGAGAGAGAGAGAGAGAGA